GCTGGGGGATTGAACCGCGGTCCCTGATGCTTTGCCAAGCTTGTTCTAAGTAGGTGCCTTAGACCACTGAGCCATCTCTCCAGCCCTAAACTTATTTTCAAGACATGAAAATATCTTCCATTTTTTTCTTTCTATTCTTTTTGCCCTCTGGCTTTAGGAAATTCTCAAGATTAACACTTTTGGAAACTACTACACCCTCGAGACTAGAATTTCCCAGATTTCTAGAACCTGCTCTTACCTATAAGCTTTATTTGGACTGCTATGAATATCACTCAAAAACTCCTGAGTGTTGGATTCTACAACACTGGTCAGGTGATCCCATGACTCCCAAATAACAAAGCATAGGAAGGTTCTGGGATCAAGCCAAGGGCCCAGTTTTCTTCCAGACCCAATGTGACAGTTTGGACCAGCACATCCTTCTTGCCAAGAACTAAGGCCAACCAAGGAGGGAGGAAAAAAAAATCAGTCCAGATACAAGGTAACACACTGCGTGGGTATGAAAGGCCCTTGTGGATGAATCCTCCTACCCCCCCAGGGCTTTACCTTAGCAGGAATGAAAGTTCAGGATATTTATTGCCCCCAAGCCCACACCAGTTACAATCTCTTTCTTTCTTTCTTTCTTTCTTTCTTTCTTTCTTTCTTTCTTTCTTTCTTTCTTTCAGACAGGGTCTTGCTATGTAGTTCAGGCTAGCCCTGAGTCCACTACATAGCCCAGGCTGGCCTTGAGTTTGTGATGACCCTCCCAAGTGTTAGGATTAAAAGCATGCACCACCACCCTCAGCACGCACCCTCATCTTGAATGCAGGACTCATAAGAATACAGCATGGCTGAGGGTCCAGAATCACCCCACAAGCAAGACTTGCAGTATCAACAGAAGAAAACCAAAGGTGAAATTATAAGGAGGAAACTTGGGCACCAATGCCTTTCCTATCACTGGTGCTCCAAAAGCTGTACAAATCCCAATGACTGCTAAACAGCCTTCACTTTTAATGACTGAGAGAGATTGCATCTTTTAGCTCTTTAGTGTCTATCATCAGTCAAAGTAAAAACAAAGTGAAAGAATAATTGAGGATTTTTCATGAGAGCAGAAAAGACTATAGAAACTATGTAAAACACTGGATTACTACCTTAAATTCCCCACACCCACACAGCTCATTAGCTTTATCTGTTTTTCTTTCCTTTGTATTCTTTGCCCCATCCTACCAACAAATACAGCTTTGAAAAATCACTCAAAAACTTCTTTTTTAGCTTAGGCCCCTTTGGACACCCCGATCCGTCTGCTGTGTGAAACCTCACCATGGAGAATGACCTCCCTGACCTAACTCTGTGCCATGATGTCACTCTGTCAACAAACAGCATGTCCTGTCAATCGCCAACAATGAGGTTGGTAGACTACTTCAGCACACCACTGAGGCCTCGCAGCCAGGTCAGACCCACCAGAGGCAGATGAACGGTGGAGAGACACCACATTTCACATCAGAATTATTCAATTCTGTTCTTGGTCACCATAGAGGCACTCACTGGAGAGTCACATTTGAGATGACAAGTGCTGCACAGGTTCCAGACACCTGGAGCCACTGGAACACGTCAGCCACCAGGGTCAGCAGAGCAGAAGGCTATAGCCACACAGAGAGTTGTTGAACCGAAATGCTCAACAGAGCAAACGAAAGCAACTCCTCTAAAATTTCAGCTTAGCTTGAACAAGCGTTAACAACATGTTAACATATTTAAAATAAAGACTTCTTTGAAAGAAATATGAAATGTTAAGCCTACTTCAAAACTCAGGGATAAATCATTTCTTCTTGAAGAACAGGGGAGGTCACAGGAAAGGTCTCTGCAGGTGAAAGGGGCCTCACATGCACAAAGACACTCAGACATAGACTTTTGAGCTCATCTTCTAACGGGGCTATCTCTAGTAAAGTCCCAGAAAGGCACTGGGCAGACTGGAAGATGTCTGTAGAATTCAAAACTAGCTGACCAGGCCTGGGTCACACAACGTTCAATGTGCTATGGGCAGACTCAGTTCAGTAAATCATAAAATGATCATTTGCATGGTCTAATATGGCAATCTTCTCTGTTACACTCACTAGAGTACCTGTAAATCTTGATAACACAATGACATAGCTATGTCAGCTCTTCATTTCTTATGAGGCTGTACATAATTAAGGCAGCTGAAAGAAGTCCTGAACACTTGGAAATACAAGCCAAGGCTCTCCAGACTCACATATGGAAAAGGAGGGAAATGGCCAACTGAGCTCTATAGTGGGGGAAAGGACAGAACAGCCTGGGCACCACAGGCCTCAAGCAGGCATTGTGGAAGAAGCCACTGCTTCTACTGAAAAGACTTTGATGCCTATCAAGTTTCAATGGTGAAGCAGCTCAGCCTAAGCTCCGCTTACTATAGGCTGAGAAAGGAAAGAGAGAGAAGGGGTGCTGCAGTTCTGAGCATATAGCTTCTGCTGCTACTACTGGCATTCCTCTGCTACTCGGAGAGCAGGAATGTGCGGAAAGCGCTAAAGGACAGAGAAGCAACTGGCAGGTGCGTGGCAGTAAAGAGACACAGAGGAGGCTGACATTTGCCAATAACAAAGAGGCAGTCTCATTACCCCACCCCACCCCCACCACCATATAGCATCACTCCAGGAAAGAGGGTGCTGCCCATAGAGAAAGGCCAGGGTACAAAGGCAGGGCCTACCAGTCTAAGCCACCTCCCATGCAAGGTTTCAAATCCAGTTAAACCACAATGACAGTAATAATAACAGAAAATCCAAGGTCAGTAGCAGATCATAATGTTTTCTTTACAAAATGATCTGAAATCACTAAGAACTAGGGACTTTGGGCCTGGTGTGGCGGCACATGCCTGTAATCGCAACACTCCAAGTAGATGAGACTAGAGGGTTGGAAACTTGAGCCCAGCCTGGACGACTCAGCAATTTAAGGAAATCCTGCCTCAAAAATAAAAAAATCAAAAAAGGCTAGGGAGTAGTTCAGTGCATGAAGGTCCTGGGTTCAATCTGCCCCCCCACCAAAAAAAAAAATCAAGTCTCCAGGTCCTCTCAGCTGACCTGAATGAACCACTTGATCTCAACACATCCTGCCAAACACAGTTACTTAAGAGGAGCATTTAGGTCATGGACAAAGCTTGAGATGTGGTCTTCACTGAAATTACCTACTCAAGTACCACAAAGACAACTTCAATTGGATTGCTTCATCAAATATAAAAAAAAACTCAGTTTTTCTTGGCATATGATGGTAAGCGAACCTGACTGATAGTTCTATGCAGCACTTAGAAACAGGCTTTCTCAAGAATCTCAAATTGGCAAACCAGAGTTTATTTCTGGTATCAAAAAGTTTTCCTGGGCATGAGTAATTATTAAAAGCAACATGTTTAATAAGGTATAATTACGTAGATGTCAGGAGCTGGAATGACTTCATTAGGCTTCCCCAAAGTCAGTTTTTTTGTTTGGATGACATTTTTTCATGGCACCAGAGACTGAACCTATGTTTTTACAGGGAGCCACATTCCAGCCTTCTAGAGTTTTATCTTGAGACAAGGTCTCACTAAGCCACTAAGTCACCCAGGCAGGCTCAAATCTGTGATCCTCCTGCTCCAGCCTCCCAGAGTGCTGAAATTATAGGCATGTGCCATCATGCCTAGAAATTTCAATATTGTTCATCAAAATAAATTAGAAGTTTAGAGCTGGGTGTGGGTGCACATGCCTGTAATACCAGCACTCAGGAGGCTGAGACAGGAGGATCATTGTGAGTTCAAGGGCAACCTGGGCTACAAAGTGAGCTCAAGGCTAGCCTGAATTGCATAGTGAGACCCTGTCTCAGAAAGACAAAAAAATAAATAAATTGAAATTTTAGAAATTTATTTCAGAAGAATTACTTTCATAAAACTTTCTTATGCATGTCATGTTTGGATTGTCCAGAAATTCCTAAAGAATCTCAAATTTCTAAAGCCTATTGAAGAACACTATTCCTGGGGAAATTCTGAGTCATCTATGTTTTAGAGATCCATGAACAGCAGCCACATTGAATTTTATTGAATGGTTCCAATTGCTTCTCAGATCACTTATAGCATCATTTACAGCATCAACAGGAACAAGTTTTTTTAAGCTTTTGTGACCACATTCTGTTAATATTGGTTGTTCATGAATCAAAAATCAGAAAGATGCAAAAAGAAATCAGAGCATTAAAAACTCACTGCTCGAATCCTAAGAAACAGATACTACTGAGCCTGTCCATGTCAAATGCTCCAAGAGAGGGCTCTGATCCAAGCACAGTAGAATACAGAGCTGGCATCAGAATCAAAGCCCTCCAGTGGGAGAAGCCACTTCTATAATTCAGATAGAACAGAGGCGGGGGAAGGTCTGGTGTCTGTGGGGGGCAGTCACTAGGACGATGAGGAATCTGCTACCTTGAATGTGACTTCCAAGCAGAAGTGGAAACCAGGGGAATTCTCACTCAGCACAGCATGAGCCCTGGCCCACCAGTGCAGTCACTTAAGCAGCAACCTGGTGGCCTTCTACTCTACTGTGTCACAGCCTATATTTTCTGGCTCCTGGAGACTTGCTCTTGTTTATTTCTTTTGCTTTTTCTTCTCTTTTCTTTCATTATTTTGAGACAGGGTCTCACTATGCAGTTCAGGCTGGCCTTGAGCTCACTTTGTAGCCCTAGACTGGTCTCGAACTCACAATGATCCTCCTGCCTCATCCTCCAAAGTTCTGGGATCACAGGCATGTACCACCACACCCAGCATCTTTTGCTTTTTGAAACAGGACCTCACTATGTAGCCTGGGCTGACCTTAAACCTATGATCCTCTGGTGTCTATCTCCCTAGTGCCGGGATCACACATGTCCATGGGACATTTGTGTGTCCAGGAACAAAGGCCAGGCAACCAGAGCAATCCCTGATGGGCTCAAAGAGGACATCTGTGCACCAACCACACGGAGGGAAACACTTTAGTATTCAGTGACCAGCAGAGTTGTATCAGCCACACTTCCAAAGACTTAAAAAGAAAACATAAAAAGACCACCTGCATCTTCAAGTAGTGGCCAGTTCCACTTGGCAGAAATAGCGGAACCTATCAGTACACTGTGATAAACAACTAGGAGTTCCCACTTAGCACTTACCAACACAGGTACGGGTGTCATTCTGGTTGATGACAAAACCTGGGGGACAAAAACACGATCCTCCATAGGGCGTCTTATGGCACTGGAACTCACAGTTTAAGACAGAGCACAGACCAATACCTAAACAGAAGGAAGAGGTGTTAATTAACAGTCATCTCTGACAAGACTAGTCTACCTAGCAGCTTCTCTACCCATGAGTAAGAGCTGAGCAAGCGAATGGTAGAAGAAGTATAGGAAAACCTGTTACTATCCAATTTGACTGCAATATTACACTGTAAAAGAATAGTCATACTTTTTAAAGTTATTAACTACTGTTATGTTAATATGTCATCAGAAATGTTTTTTATGTAAAAATAATGTTAAAAGTTAACCTCAGTGAAATGGAAAGAAAATGCTATAAAGCCTTGGCATATTTAAATATTACAAGTTTTGTCAAGGGAAGAAGTAAGCCTTGGGTTACAGTTTGTGTACTTCTAGCCACCACTGGCTAAATCAGTTTACAACTGAGGAGACTGGGGTCATAATCTGTGTTCCTCCACAGGACAATCAGCTCTCCACAGAGCTGATGGACTGATTGTAGGGGACGACTGTGGAATATTCTAGCCAAAAGGAAAAAAATGCTTAAGTCCAGGCAATTTCCTCATAAACGAGTATGACTACTGCAAATATCAAACACTACATGATGAACTGAAGTCTACTGTAGAAAAATAATAGAATCCAGGAACCTGAAGCCTTTTAATTCTTCACATTTTTTTATCAGTGAGTTTTATTTGGGCAGATGTGTACCTGCCTAATTGCTCTGGCTAAAATTCAAGAAATACACTGAATAGGAGTGATGAGAGTAGCCATCCTTTCACGTTTGCTCCTGATATTTTTTTCCTACCTCCAGATAAGATTCTTTTCTATAAGATGAGGAAAGAAACCCTGGGAGGTACAGCTCAGAAGTAGGATGGTTGCCTAATAGGCAGGACTCCCTGGGTTTGACCTCAACACCACAAAAATGCAGTAACAATAATTAAAATCCTCTGAACAGCTTCAGAGCCATTAAAACAAATCTCCTGCTGGGTGTTGTGCACCTGTAATCCTAGCACCTGGGAGGATGAGTCAGGAGGATCATCTGAGCTCCAGACCAGTCTGGGCTATAAAGTCAGCTCAAGACCAGCCTGAACTGCATAGTGAGACCCTGTCTCAAAAGTATAAAATAATAAAACAAACCTCCCTGTTGATGGGAAAGCCAGACTTTTAAGCTCCTCCCATTAAGAGAGAAAACCTACTTCTTCCATCCTTTCTGATCTTGGGAAAGTGTCAAGCTGTGGTCAGCAAGACATTAGCAAATGTAACATAAGCCAATGCTTCAAGGTGCTTCGGGCCTAAGCTTTGCTCTTTCCACCATGTGAGAAAGGCTTGCATTAGCCCACCCTTTACTGCAACATTCTGACATGCAAATGACCTGGTAAATAAAGGCCAGGAAAACTCCCAGCCAGCCCAAGAATGGTGAGGCTTATCAGTGACATCTTGGGGTATCTGTTGTACAAATGCACACGGATATGTTCTTTGAGAATCTATTATAGAAACACAAAACACTGTTATCTGAAAGCTACCCAGATAAACTCCCACACTCACCACAGTGACTTCCGGCAGCAGTACCATTCTCATCTTCTCCTCTTGGACAGTCTGGGACCCCATCACAAACTTGATAAATGGAGATGCACTGTCCGGAGTTCGGGCAAGGCCATTCCCTCGGGTAGCACGAATGATGGCGTTGGTTACTCTCTTTGGAGGGAAAATAGAGTGAGAAGAAGTACAGTCAGCTCCATGGCTGAGACACACATCTGCTGGGTCGACAACGAAATTCCATCAAATGACCAATAATTTACAATAAACTTGTAGTGTCTAACTCTACCACTAGCCTTTACTGAGGAGTGACACAATGGAATGAAGGCACACTCTTTCTGGAGGTGGCAGCCCGCAACCAAAATATAAGGAGCAACAAATATGGGCCTAAATCAGCAACAAACTAGATTCACAAAACAAGATGCACTTATTTTCTCACAAGTTTAAAACTAGGACATCAAAGTAATCCAAGAGTCCTGAGATCAGGTTTTCTTGGTTTTGTTAATTTACTGAAATGCTGACAGTCCAAAAAAAGCCCTAACTCAAATACAGAAATACTACTTTCCTGGAAGACCAGATTGTAAAAGCAATGGACATTTTTAGAGCAAGTATCATCCTAATCGTATCTGAGATGGCAAGGGTGCAGGCAATTTGATGCACGCTGTGGGTGGTGGTAAATTCATATGGTTGGAAATACTGCTGATGATAGCAGCAGAGTGAAAGTCAAATATCATCAGCAATCTCCTTCTCCAATAATTTTCTTCCTCCTCTGTATTAGGGATTGAACCCCGGGCCACACTGTACTACATCTAACTGGTTTTTATTTTCAGACAGGGTCTTGCTAAGTAAGTTACTATGTTGCCCAGGCTGAGCTTGAATTTGGAATCTTATCTCAGTCTCCCTGAGTGCCGGGATTACATGTGTGCACCACCACACCCAGCTTCACTCTCAAATAATCTTTAAATATCTTCCCAATAATAAAGCCTCTCCTCTGTGTGGAAAAAGGAGCCCTTCACCCATGTTGGTGGGAGGCAGACTAGTACACCTATTGTGGAAATCAGTGTGGAGATTCCTCAAAAAGCTAGGATTCAATGTCCCACTCAAGCCAGCTATTCCCCTCCTACGCTTTTTCCAAAAGAACTGAAATCATCATACCACAGTGATATATGTGCACCCATGTTTATAGCAGCACAATTTGTCATAGCTAAATCTTGGAAACAAACCAAATGCCCATAAACTGAGGAATGGATAAAAAAAGATGTGGTATTTTTACACAATGGAGTATTACTCAGCTATTAAAAAAAAAGATAAATCAGAGGCTTTTATACATAAATGAATGCTACTAGAGACTGTATTGGTAAGTGAAATAAATCAGACCTGCAAGTGCAAACATTGTATTGTCTCGCCAGTGTGAGAACCTGAAAGAGTAAATAAAATCTGAAAGGTACAACAGATACTGTGAAAGGGAAAGAATTTGTTCAATGGGAAGGAAAAACTGGGATGAAGGAAAGGATAAAAAAGAAGGAAAGGGGCTGGTGAGATGGCTCAGTGGTCTAAAGCACCTACTTAGAACAAGCTTAGCAAAGCAAAGGGACCACGGTTCAATCCCCCAGCACCACATGCCAGCCAGCCCCGCCCCCTGGTGGGCTGAGCTGGCCACACACACACACACACACATAAATAAATAAATAAATAAATAAATAAATAAATAAATAAAAGAAGGAAAAAAGATATTTACGTATAGATATAGGATAGTTTGGATAACTGTACTACTGATTTCTGTTGATCTGTTGAAAGCAGGTAATACTTAAAATATTCTTTTTTTTTTTCTTTTTAACTTCTTATAACTTTCTTTTTGTTGTTTTGTTATTTTATACCAATTTTGGTTTATATCTGACAACCAAAACCACTAATTTGAAAATATCATGCAATACAACCACCACTGTTGTATTCTTATTACTTTGTTTAATGAAACCTATTATTTCTAGAGCCATCCAAATAACTGAGGAAAACTGTGATGAAACTGCTCCCCTCCTTACCACATCCATCTTCATCTCCAAAGTTTGGACAGTCATCCTCTCCATCACAAACCCAGTTCTGATGAATGCACTGGCCGTCGGGGCAAGTGAACTGGTTCCCACTGCAGGTCTCATAGTCTGCAAGAAAGGAACAGCTGTACTCCAGAGACACACATCACCCAGAAAAAAGCCAGTCTCACCTCAATGCCTAACCTGAGCTCCTGGGGTCTGAAATCTCTACCAATTTAATCCCTTGGGTATTTCGACAGAAATGAAAAAAGGTGGGGGAGGGGATACAGCAGCTTTGGGTCCAGGAAATAAACTCAGGTGCCAGGTTGATCCAGCACAGACTAATGCCGCCTAATTAAGATGCAAGAGACACACAAATGATCAGCATCCTATTTTACCACAAGCACTATAATTACTTTCTGTGGACCAAATGTGTCACCCATTCCATGAGGTGACATTCTTTTTATTTAATACAATCAGTGAAATAAGTTCAAGTATTTTAAAGGAGATCACATGGCGCTCATAGAAAATTGGGGTGATACTGACAGTACTCAAAAACCCCATGAGGCATGGGTGCCAACCAATCAAAACAGGTGTAAAGAAAATCATTCATTCCATGCTAGGCATGAGCTTTCCTGACCCTCCAGTTTAAAAAGGAGATAGGGGCCGGGGAGACGGCTCAGTAGAATAAGCGCTTCTCTGGCAAGCGCAAGGGCCTGAGTTCAATCCCCGGTTCTGCCAAAAAATAAATAAATAAAATAAAAAGGAAAGATAGCACTGCTGCCAGAAGGAAGTTCCTTCCTCATTCAATCTCTTCTCTAACCTTACTATGAGAATTATCAGAACCATTCCTGCAATATAGGGATAATTTCACAGTTCTATGACACAATACAAACTCTAAGAAAGAATGCAAACTGGCCATCAGCAACCTTTCAACTCAACATAGATCTTTAGAAAACAAAGGATCCTGAGTGATAAAATAGAGCTAAGGCCATGTCCCTAACAGGATCTTTTTGGCTCTACTTCCATCTAATGACTCTTTGCCTTGAAAAAAGTGGGAGGAAAACAAATCGTCTTAACCACGTGACCCAGTAGAAGGAAATCACCGTACTGCAATTATGTTCATCACTGCTGTCTCTACAATCATTGTCGTGGTCGCAGAGATAGCCTCGAGGGACACATTCTCCAGTGCCACACTGAAATTCGTTGTGCATGCATGTTTCAGCTAGGACACAAAGAAGGGGGAAAAAAGAGTTTCAATTCCATGACAGCCACTTCTCTCAAGATTAAGCTGATTCTTATTAGACAACAGCATGCCAGTGAACATGTAGCAGTCAGCTCTCCAGGAGCACACGGGCCCCTGATTTGTAGCATCTGCCAATACCCATGGTGTAAATACCATACCAGTAGTTGACTTAACATCACCAACATGAATTCACTGAACACAGGCTCAAGGAGAGATGCACGGAACTGGCTCTCTCAGGTCGGCGTCCACTGGCTCCCCATGTCACTGTCCCTCCATGCACAGGACTTACTGCAGTTGACCTCATCGGAGGAGTCCCTGCAGTCCACTTTTGAGTCACACTTCTGGCTTGTGTTGTAGCAGGCTCCATTGGCACAAGTAAGCTGTTCACACACTGGATAGTCTGTTTTTAAGAAGAGAAAAAGCATTAGAAAAAATGGGGTATACAGATGAATGTCCATTTTGTATCTGTGTATTCAAAGTGGTTGGGATAGATATATAGTTACATTCTGTTAATGAATAGAATGATTTGTTCTAATGGTGTTTGTAAATAGGATCACAAGTCCGTATCTTGTACAGCAATTAACCACTAAGAAGAATATATGCAGTGTATTATTTGTTGAAAAATAAAATAAAAATAAAAATAAAATAAAATAAAAAAAGAAGAGAAAAAGCAGAATGAAAATAGCAAACACACTTTAAGACTCTCCAGGCTAATGTGACGGCACACGCTGCAATCCCAGCATGGAAGAGGCTGAGGCAGAAGGCCATCCTGAGTTGCACAGTAAGACCTTTTCTCAATAACAAACTCTAAAAATATTAACTAATCAAAAATTTTGAGTGCCTGCTTTTTATGTTCTTTGAATATGCATGCCCTCCTTCCCGTGAATATACTACCTTCCTTAGTTTCTTTTTCTCATTAAAGATCATTTTCTTTTTTTCTTTTTTTTTTTTTTTCCCAGAACCAGGAATTGAACTCAGGTCCTCACGCTTGCCAGGGAAGTGCTTATTCCACTGAGCCATCTCCTCAGCCCCTCATTAAAGATAATTTTCTTAGTAATTCTCAGGTTATCTTCAAATTCTTTTTAACCATACCTTAGTTAAAATTTCAAAAACCAAGTAACAGTCCCCCACTGATGCTAAATTTGCATTTAAGAACACAATCTGAGGGAAATAACATTGAACATTGAAAAACCCATTTGTTTTTTCTGGACCATCCCAAAGCCTTTCAAGCAGAAACTGCACAAAATTCTGTGCTAAAACTGCATTAAACCTGTTCCATGTGAACAATCCAAAACTTTACAAACTATGCACTCCAAAAGATCTTGCCCTGGGCCAGAAACTTGGTTCAGTGACACGATACTGGCAAGCCTGAAGTCCTACGTTCGATCCCCAGTATGTGTGATCTTTTCCCATTTCTGTACAGTAAGGGAAGAAGCAGCCTAAAACTCATCGCCGGAAACTCAGAACTCCATGAAGCGTCTCTAAGTCTGAACTGCAGGAGTCACACACAGTCAATCCTACACTCAATGAGGTGCCTGCTACTGAGCCAGGGAGATTCCTGCCACAGACCAGGAAAAAATGCAGAAAGTGCAGGTCTGCTTGGGGCACGCTACGGCTGTCATCTGAGTGCCCCTCATGGGGTCACTGGGGGAAGAGAACAGCACACTTGGGTGCTGAATGCCACAGTCATGCCTCATCAACAGGGGCTAGGGAGCTGGCAGAATCTGCCAACCTTTCCACTTGGCAGAGGACACTGTCTGCCAGTGTAACCAGAAAGCCCCTCCCCCAGGGCTAAGGAACCAAGTGTGGACTGTCACTCTGTCCTGTACTGCTTGGAGGAAATGCAGGTGAGGCCAGAGGATGAAGGAGCCCAAAGAACAATGAAGTTCAAGTCTGGCCAACTAAAATTTTAGAGTTATAAATAAACAAGATCAAATCTCAAAAAAAAAAGGCAGGGCTTTTTTTTTTAGTAGCTGATTAAAAGTTTAATTTTTTTCTGAAATCTTTTTTTCCCTCAGTCCAGAGTGAGTGAGTGCTGAAGGAGGCCGCTGTCCATCCCTGACATGCGTTGCCCAAGCACCTGCAAACAGGCTGCACAACTCTGGTTACTAATTCTGCCTTCGCAGTACAAGGGCCAGGCAAGGCCAGCGTGCAGGGAGCCCCTCAAGCTTGCATGTTATCTCACCTCCTAAGAGCAGCAGTAAGCAGGAGGAAAAGAATTTTAGAAAATACAGTTCTTTGCAGCAGATAAGGTACCTGCCAGGAGGGACATTTATTTGGGCTTACACTGTGGCCACCTCATTTAAAGTAATTATTAGAGATATGGGAGATTGGGGATAAACGTGCTGGGCAGAGCTCTTTTTTTTTTCTACCCTGCTCTTTGAGAACCAGTGCCATAAAGCTGGAAGAACTAAAACAGGGTCCACACACGTGACTGCAGGTTTACCGGCATGACTCATGCCCCCACAACAACCGGCCAGCTTGATGTCGTAGGGAGAGTACTGCCAGGCCAGAAGTCAGCTGTTTGACACTGGGAATGAGGGACAAACAGCTCTCTTCTAAAAGCCTCAGCCTCTCTTTAGGCTCATTTGGCAAGCCTGAGTCTCACTTCTTTCCCCACTACCACTTCCTATACCCCTTTGTACCTCCCCACCAACCCCTCTAACAAATCCATCCAGTGACTGAAACGCGCTGCAGCATTCTAAGTACAAAGTACACTAACAGAGGAAATGATATTCATACAAGAAGGCCAAGGAAACTCCCTCTCTGGAATGATGTGTTTTTTGCAGGGTTTGTTTGTTGGGGGCTTTTTTTTGCAGAACCAGGGATTGAATTCAGGCCCTTGAGCTTGCCGGGGAAGTGCTTATTCTACTGAGCCATCTTCTGGCCCCTGGAATGACGTTTTAACAGAAAGACTGACAAGTACCTGCTAACCAAGTTCCGGATACAACATGTGGACACACCTTTCCTCTGACCACATTGAGCTTCTCTCTTCTTCATGTCCTCCAAGTTCCAAGTGAACTTTTGTTGTTGGCAAAACAAGTTCTTGTTCCCCCAAAATTAAGAACTACCCCAAAGTGCACATCCAAGATTGGTACTTGAAGATTTTTTAAATTTTTTTCTGTTAATCATTTGACTTACAGCATAGAGTTTTCATGAAGCTAGGCGTGACTGTGCATACATGTAATCCCAGCACTTTGGGAGGCTGAGGCAGGAGGATGGCAACCTCAAGCCCTGCCAAGGCAACTTCACAATTTAATGAGACCCTGCCTCAGGCTGGGGGAATAGCTCAGCCACATAAGCGCCTGCTTGGCAAGCACTAGGTCCTGAGTTCGATCCCCAGTACCAAAATACATAAATAAATAAGTAAGACCCTGCCTGGAAATAACCAATAAAAAAGGGCTGGGGATGCAGCTCAGTGTGAAAGCCCTGGGTTCCAACACCAGCCAGCACTGAAAAGGTTTCATGCTGTAGTTCTTTTCATATAATCAATAAGGAAGATGTAGGAAACCGCTCTAAGGAGCTTGTGAAGTTCCCAGAATGGAAATCATTTAAGCCAGGATGAAATGCAAGTACTCGGCTGTCTTCTTTTTATCTTGTCAGGAAGGCTACCAATATGTCTTATTCTCACAATTTGACAAAGTGGTCACAAAGAATATGGAGTTTGGTAAACTGATGTAAGATAAGGCACCTTAAACACAGATTTAAAAACTTAAGCCCAAGATTGAAAAGTACACAAGAAATTGCTAATAAAGCACAACCCAGACACCAGGAGCCCAGAGCCCTTTCACCATCTCACTCTGCTCTCAGACAGATTAATGCAGTCGAAGCAATGCTCTGCTAGGGAAAAAAAAAAAACTTTAGTCACAAAGCTAAATAAGCAATGATTGTTATAAACATACTGAAGAGTGCCAAAACATGTCCAAGTGCTTAGTATGTCTGAACAACCCTGTAAGGTAGATTCTGTGGTGATTCCTATTTTATGGATGAGAAGCCTGAGGAGTATGAAAATTCCTTAAACTGGAGAGTTAGAACTCAGGTTCCTTGTAGAAGGAAGCTCTACAGGTCACGCGATGGAGGCAGCTATCACTGAGAGGCTTCAGAGCCAGTAAGAAGATGCAAAAAATCGCAGAAGATGAAATGGGCACAGAAAATATTTAAAAGAAAAAAAGAGAAGGAGCCTTGGAAAAGTGGAGCCAACTCCAAGTCTCTGGCATTTATGGTGCATTCTATGGAAGTTGCCAAACGGACATAACTTAGGAATCCAGGGAGTCATACGCTGGGACACACAGCTTCTAGAAGGAAGACCAGGACAGAGCAGGCATAAAGTAGCTGGGCCACAACTCCCAGACCCCACCCAGTCGATGTCAAGTCCCCTAAGTAGCCGCCAGGAGGAACAGGCACGGAGGTGTCATATGCAAAACTGGCAACAGAGAATTATTTTTCCTCCTTGTCCCAAAATGGATTTGAAGTGAATTTCCACAGCTATATCCTAGTACACTCCAATATTCCCAACACTCAGGAGGCTGAGGCAGGAGGATCAAAATGAGTTCAAGGCCAGCCTGCACTGCATAGAGATCTTGCTACAAACAAAATACATAAATAAATCTATATATGTGGTCAGAAACATAAAACGAAAATCAGCACCTTGGAAAGAGAAAAAAATGTGGTTATCCCAAGGGCTAGGAGAGCTGGACTAATTTCACGTTTTTGTCTGAATGCTTAGGAAGCCAATGCCAAAAAGGAAAGGACATTAAGTTATCTGGCTTTCCTTATCCTGGTTCCTTTGTATGAATGAGTTTTAAACCCATGTTCCAATCTAGTCTCTCCACAGTGACCTGACACGAGGCTTCAAATGTACTTGAGAGGAAGTAGGCAGTGGTGGCACACGCCTGTGACCCCAGCACTCAGGAGGCTGAAGCAGAGAATCACTGTGAATTCAAGACCAGCTTGAACTAAGTAGCAAGACTCTGTCTCAAAACAATCAGAATTAGAAGACAGGTTTTTTCAAAGACCAACAAGAGATCCTGTCTCAATCAAATCTAAAGAAAAAAGAAAAGTAGGAGGAGGAGAAAGAAATGCATCTGAGAGGTCGCTGCAAGGATCTGGACCTGTAGCCCCTCCTTATCCTCATAAAAACAAATCTATCACTCAAAACTGCAAAAGAGATAAAGACCTTAGTTCTAAAGTCAAAACATAAAAGTCTCAAAGAAGCTGTAGCACAGAGGCAAATGAGAAAATTTTCAGCTCATGCATTAAACACTGCAAAGAACGGTGCAAAGAGGATGCCTTCTCATGGGGAGCAAGCATTTATCCACCCACCGTGCCTAGTGGCACCTGCTCCCTGTCAGAGCTTATGAGGCTACATGCTGGCATTTGAGGCCACACACACCTTGGGCA